TCCGAATTATTGCACTCCCCATGCTTGCCACATCCACCTCGAAGCTCGATTTATTTTCCTACTTCATATTTCATGATACCTTAAATTGAATCTCTGTTTTTAGGGTTGATGTTTGTTGTTTAATGAAGTTTGTACATACTTGTGATAATTGTATGATAAAAAGGGGGAAGTGTAATGGAAATTTGCATATAAACTTTACTTCATCAACTTGTGCTCGCAAAAGAGGAAATGTCTGGCGTACGTGCAGATGATTCAAAACTAGACAGATAGCTTTTTTCTTTTTTACCTTTAACTAACAAATGCCCTGGGTTTTGCTATGCACTTGGTAGATGTAACCTCAGTTCATGACCTTACTTGATGATGATCCTCTTGTTGATATCGATCTGTGCAGCTAGCAAACATCCTCTTTCTTGCAGAAGCAAGAGCACAGATTTCTTCAGTGTTCATGCTATTATTCAGTAACGATTGTCTCTTATGTTTCCTGTTTACCCGATTGTATAAAAACCTTCTTCTTTCCCTATTCGGGGTTGTTCCACTCTGAGCATTCGTGCTGACTGTGTAACCCTCTGCAGAGCTTTCTATTAAATGACCCAAAGACAACTCCGGTCAGAGAAACTCTTTATTTCACATCTCGAGATAAATTCACACCACACAACAATCTGTTAAGAAGCGAGAGAAGAAAATCCACTCACCTTTAGTTGTATTTGCTCAGACAGATGTTAGAATAAAGGACAAAACGAGAGAGATGAAGCTAACTCACAGTGTGTGCCACTAGTGATGGAGCATGATGTGTCATCTCTGGTTTTCGTGATGATGGAGCATCGTGCTCTCTGTGGTTTTAAGGTGTTACTTTGCTATGACGTCACGTTGTTGTTGAGCAAAGCTTTTTAGATAATAGGCATGTGCCTCATTTGTCCACGTTTCATTTTTTTTAAAGACACAGACATTAAAAAAAGACATAGACACAGAGGAAGATGGGAGTGGGAGGACTAAGGTCATGAATGCTACGACTGTATGTCTGATCTTATAGGAATATTAGTGAGGGAGTGCACATTTAATTCTTAGTCTTCTTGTGAGTGAAACTTTTGAGTTGGTCTCTCCCTAACCTTCCATTTGGCTCTGATATCAATATGGCAGGTTGGCTAAAGTGAAGGTGAGAGTGGTCTGTTTACAGATGCAGCCGGCATCCAGCCCTGACTCTGGGGCTCTGTGTGATTGGTTTACCCGGCACCGTTGCCATGCTCAGTAACCGTGTCACAGTCTATTTGGTTTATTCTGCCAGCATCCTCACACTGATTGAGATGCCTGAGCCTCCATCCCAGCAGCACAGGTCCAAGCTGGCAGCGTTGGTGGCAGGAGCTCCTCAATGAGAAACTACCCTTCTTTGGTGCTGAGCATGACTGTTGCTGGGCCGCATTGATAAAGCACTGTGAGAGGAGCATGTGGGCTGCTGCTACTGCTGCGGCTGTGATAGTGGCATAATCTAATCACTGCTATCCTGTTCTGGATCTCCCAGGTTCAGAGCCACCCTTAGGATGTGAGTTGATTTAATGGACAGAGTCAGCTGATTTATAGCGGAAGAGGACAATTTCATATCTATTTGTTGCACATCACGACAAAGCCTTCCTTCAGTTTTTGTGGGCACATCACTGTCACTGGATGGAGGATGTTTTATGAAATATCCGCTGGCACGTGTTTATATTTTTATCCCTCAGCTAAAGGCTTATGGGTTTCAGTTTGACTTTGCTAGGAGGAATACGCTGCTACCCTCTATGATTTGCTCAGATAATTTTCACACAATAAAGGCAGTGTCTGTACTGTATCCTCTGCAGCAAATCAACTGACACGCTGCTGTTGTTCCTTGGCTACAGGTACCTCGGCCACAGTGGAGAAGAAGATGATGTCATGTGTTTTTTTACATTTGACTATAGCCCTTTAATGACAGGGCCTCCATAGAGTGTGTGCTGCTATTATCATTTGAAAAATCAGCTACTTCTTTCCAAGCAGAGGTGGACACATGTGTCTGTAGCCTGTGTTTAAATGAAGGTGGTTGAACATGTTCATTATAATCAGATGATAACTTGTATTTGTATTTTTGGCACATCTACAATTGTGCAACAAAGATCTCCGACCAGGTTTAATCTCTATGGTGGCAGATCTATTAGATCAATGTATTGTTGCTTCCTGTCAGTCAGCATGATTTGTGTGCTTTTTTATTTGGTCTTCATTTAATCTCTTAGAGCCCTATGTTAAATCTTCTCAACCTGTTGGTTCACTGGAGTCACAAAGAGGTAAAATCATCTAATAATTTAGATAGATAGATAGATAGATAGATAGATAGATTGTCTTACAGTTTCTTACTGGACATATTAAGTATTTTATGCAGTTTATTTTTAGTATTTAAAAAAAAAGTATTTAAAAAAATACCAGACTGTTCTGTTTGTGTTTATTTGGGAGGAGATTCTTTTAAGAATAGATATTTTGATTTTTAGTCAGTGATCAAAAACAAATCCTCAAATCCTAGATCATACAATTCCCCTGATGTACCTCAGTGATGTTTTCTTAAATTAGACCCTGTCTGCCTCATAAATGTCCCAGTCTTTCAAATCCCACAGCTCCAGTCGATAACGGCTGCTGTCTGTTTAACACGACAAGTCTGGCTGAGATAACCCCGATGACATCACCCAGGTTTTTTTAAATTCCCTCAGGAACCACAGAAGATATGATACATCTTAGCTGAAATATATGTGTGAGAATTGCTGTGCCCTCTCAATCATCTCACAACCACTTTTAACCAAGGTAAACCTGGTGCTATAGAGCTGGCTCAGAGTTGGTTTAACTTATGAACATTTCAAAAACCAGTTTGTTTTTCCACGGGCCAGAGCCGCCATACAGCCATGTCATTACATCACTGTATATGTCACTCTATATGTCTCCCAGCAACATTAGCGCCTACTTCAAGCAAAACATCAACTATACATGCAGGACTGCAGAATCCTCCTGGCTTTGCAAATGCCATCCAAACATGACTGGTCCAAAGCATTTGTACTGCCTGTCATGATTGCTTTTTTGAGTTAGTTTGCACTATACACACAACACACAGACTTCTTTAAGAATGGTGGTTACAATGTATTGGTTGATCTTGTTGGTCACGATAATCCCACCCCCTAGCCCCTGACGTAAATTATTCCTTCTTCTTGACCAGCAAAGTACAATTTATTTGGCTGAGAGTGAGTTCTCTGGTTGTTGAAACACAAAGAACAGTTTCAAGATTAGACCCTGCCCTTGAAATGCTGCGGGGGGAAGGAGTATGAGACCCCTCCAGATCTTGTGACCTCTCAGGGGATCCCACGATATTCAAAATCTAACAAGAACACAAGAGCAGGGACAACAGTTGTGTGTGTTTAGGCCATGACATCATTTCGAGAGAGAGACAAAGCTCTGACAAAAGTAATGAGTAGCATGATGATACATCAAATGAAGGGAACAAGTCAGTCATAATGACAACCTCAAGGAAAACATGCAGCAGACTGGCTCCAGTGAGTGGAGTTCAGCTAAGGGAAATATTTACAGTAGCTCAACTGTTCTGCTGCACTAAACAAGAGTGAGACTTAATCAAGTTCAAAACATGAATCACTTTCTCTGAACCCACAATGAAAGGACCTACAAGTACTAGAGTTGCACACAATATCACAACATCACCATCTGGTTACACTGAATTCAATACAATCTGCAAACGCTGTGTGTGATAAGATATCTTCACTAAGAGCTGTCTCTATAGTCTCTAATGTAGCCTCACTGATGAGTCCCCCCTCAGTGACCCCTGTGGGTATGTGAACAAGATACAGACGCATGTGACAGAAAGGTACGCTGGGACATGGATGTTCTTCAAACAGTGACTATGATTTAGTGGAGTTGTGACAGATGCAAACAGGGTCTGACAGCCTGTGCAGTGGCTGTTAACAACTGTGCTAAAAGAAACATTCATATTTACCCAGGGCCACTGGCAAAGCTCAAATTTGGGCGAGTGGGAAAAAGAAAAGACAAACTTTATATTATACTGAAGTATTAATATGACACAGGCAAGCCCTGAATCTGAGTTCTCATACATTTCTAGTTTTTGCAGGGGCAGATCCATGGACGGGGTCAGGGAGGCAGTGGCTGAAGCTGAAATTGGTGCTGCAGTAGGTACTGCTTTTTTTAATAAACTAATCACTAACAATAAATATGACATTAAGAATATGATTTCATTAAGAATTTGGTCGGCAATGTCAGTATTAATAGCAGCATTTATGTCTTTCATCACAGCCATTTCATATAATTTAGTTTACGTCTCAAAAACATGTTTATGTGTGCAAAAGTCCTTAAATCTGTAAATGAACTAAGGTGCAAACACAGAGCTAGTTCTTTTATCTGTTTCTGGTCTTTATGCTAAGCTATGCTTATTATTTGCTGGTTGCAGCTCATGTTTAGTGTAGCCAGAGGCGGAACCCCTCGAGCGGAGCCAGGGGGCACTTTTAACAATAACAATACTAACAATAAATGTGACGATTTCTTGAGAATTGTTAGTTTAGGACACAATGTGCTTGAAAAATGAACAAAATTATAAATATATTCAACGATGTGTGGCCTTGAATCAAAGATATAAAGCTAACAGTGAACAAGGAAGGACTGGTATGTTACTGAATCGGGAATTGTTGGAAATATAACATCCATGTACGAGTAAATTGTGGCCCCTGATTCAGAAAAATCCTTGATCAGCCACTGAGGTATTGTCTTGTATGTTTTTAGGGATTGTGCATTTCATATTTGCCTGAGATGTTAAAAAAAACAGCACTGACATCTTCGAGTCTTTTATTCTGCTCTGTAGCTACCAACAGGAGGAGGAGGAGGAGGAGGGGGGGTTCAGGGCTTGGAGGATGAGCAGATGCTGGGATTGGTCGGACGCTCCACGGTGCACAAACCTAAACAGCAGCGTAGAGCAGCCGGAGGATGAAGCAGCCGAGGAGCATCCCTCATCATCATCATCATCATCATCACACGAGCCATGCGCATTCACATATTTCTCAGTGCACGGGTGCAAAAGTCAAAATAACAGCGGTGTGAGAGGATGGTGATAAACTGAAACTGTCGCACCGGGATATTTTGCAGCTCCGCACCGGATCAGTGGTGCTGCTGACGGCCAGAGCCAGACAGACAGCACGGCGCTGATATCCAGCATCCAGTGAGGAGCATCAGCTGCTGCCAGGAAAACAACAACCAAACAACACCGGGGGCTGATCATAGCGCCCGCAGAGAGAGGTCACGATGGGCTCCAGACTGAGCAGACAGAGCAGCCTGGACAATGAGAATTTCTCCAAAAAGCGACGCAAGCTTCTGGATGGCGCCGGGGAGGTGAGCGACCGGGGCGGCGGACGGGGCGGCGGGGACTTTCTGTTCGCGCTGATGCTGAAATCGGACAAACTGCCCGGGATGCTGCGCAGGAGCAACCACAGCCCGTACATGAGGCGGGTGGCGTGGATCAAGGAGATTCAGAAGCTGCTCCGAGAGCGCAGGATCGAGCAGGCGACCGACGTGCTCAAATTACTGAGGAAGGTAAGAGGACAGAGTATGTGCGCACAGCTCGGCCTGCAGGAGCACCGTCAACAACCTGTTTACACTGAGCTGCCGCTGCTCTGGTGCTGATGCTGCTCCGGGCATCCTTATTAACATGTCCCCCAAGCAACAGATGGGGCAACAAGCAGGGGATGCTCCCATACGTGTGTACAGAAATCTCCGTGAGGACCATTTTGAGCCTTACTCTGCCTTTTATTACTCGCTGACCCACTTTCTATGAAATTACTTGTAGATGTAGGTTTGAGCAGGATAAGCTTTGTGTTTGGCATTTCATTGTGATGGCTAGTGATAGGGTAAGGAGCTTTAGGGAATGCATCACGCCAATGAGTGTCCTCGCCAAGAAGTTCAAGGTTGTGTGGGTGTAGTTTAATTTGTGTCACATGTGCGCATGTACCTCATCCCTGACCTCTGACTTCTAACCTCCGACCCCAGCCCTTCTCCCATCCTCGCTGCCACTCCCTCCAGAAGTATTTTTTTTCTACAGGAACTAGGCCACTGGCAGAGCATGTGTACCTGTGACACATCGTTTCAGTGACAGACGCAGCATGTGACTCAACACACTCTCCCCGTGGGCAGACGTGCACCATGCTGACACAGATGCATCCTGCGTGTCATCGCCTCATCCCAAATGTATCATTGTCTTTACAACACACGCCACCATCCTCCCTCAACACCTGTCCTTGTTTGCTCTGCTGTGGTCATCCTCACCTCTCCTAAGCCTGGTCTACTGCTCCCATTAGAGCGGCCTGCCCCCCTCCAACCCTCTCCACTTCTTATGTCTCCTTCTCTCTCTCTGTAATGGCCTGTGCTCTAGCAGCAACAATGTAAGCCCTGGAGCCCACAGAATCAACATTATTCCTCTCCAAAAGGTTTCATTAACTCTTACTCAGAGAGAGAAGGTCACAGAGATGCAAATGAAGTGTACTGTCATGGCTTCAACAGTGGCTTTTTCATATTGTGGGTCATATTTTGTTGCTTCACAATGTTTTTTTTTATGGAAAATGACTTGTTTTTTTCCATGAGTTGATGTTTTAGCTTTTGGCAGATGAAAAAAATCTTAAAACGCAATCGGATCAGATTAAAAATGCACAGTCATGAAGCCCAGAACACTAGTGTGCTCATGGTCTCTAAAAATAGTCAATAGCTATGAACAGGTAGTCGTGACCTAGAGAATTCCCTGCTATGCTGAGGAACTAGAGTTGGATCACAGACACAGGTTTGTTTTCTGAGCGTTTCCTCACCTGCTGTGAGAGATGTAGCATTAAAACATACCTAAAAGATGTAGGTGCACTAAAAATGTGACAGCAGCTTCGGTGATCTCATTTGTTTGCCTGCCCTCAGGCCTCCCTCTCTCTTTTAGCTGTGGGCCAATCTAGCATTAATTACTCTGAAGCTTTGACACGGGAGAGAGAGAGTTGAACCTCCTTAATCAGGCTGATGAGATAAACTGACTTGCCAAGGCATCTTGACAGCCACATCACAGGGGACAGGGGCTCGCTCCCTTCAAATGAGCTCCACTGTTATTAAATAAGGCTTACTTTATCTTTTGTCACTGCACTGCAACCAGGCAGATGTCTGAGAGATCCTGTTCTTTGAATTTAAAAGAAGTTTGAGGCAGAGTTAATTAGTGTGTAACACCGAGCTCTGCTCCAGATATGAGAAAAGATCTGAGCCGTGCTGCAGATATGGCGAGGATTCATGGTCTCATGCTGAGCCTGCACATGACAATTGATTGTGTCTAAACTCAGATGGGGAGATATTTTTATACCTTGTTTCTTTTGGTTTTTTCCAGGAGGTCAGAAGCAGCGTTTCGGCTGCCCTGGGTTCAGTCTGTGTTTACTGTTGCTCTTGTTAAAGGAGGAGCCAGTTGTGTGGAGCTGCCAACCTCCCACTCAAGCTGTCTATTATAATCAATGCTGATTGTGTTCCAGAGAGAAGCAACTGTGCTTGCGCAGGTGTGTGCACACTGTATGTCTCTAAGGTTTGCATCTGCCGTTAAAGTTGCATGGGCTCCCACAAGGGCTTTGCCTCCTCAGGACCCGTGTTGATGAAGACAGATTGTTGTAGGTCAGTGCACACACAGCTGTGTCTCACAGTCAAGGAGTCATCTGAATGAAAATCTGCTCTTTTTTAGTTTAGCTTTGATTTGTTTTTAATGCAGAAGCTGTTGGTTTTGTCTCATGTGAGATTAAACTGCCTCGACAGTCGGCAGCTTTGACTTCTTTGGAAATGTATTTATGGCCTGCTCAAATTTCTGCCACTGTCATCTGGTTAGAAATATATATATATATATATATATATATATATATATATATATATATATACAGTATATACAACATGGGAAATATCACACGGCGAACAAATTAAATACGTATTTTGAGTTATTCCAGGAGAATTTTGAATGATAAGGCATGGTTCTGAAAGTGCTAGACTCTTCCCTTTTTATTTTGTATAAACATTACCACCCTTGGCATGTTGGGATATGCAGTGAGGCTCGGTGCCATGGTGTTGTGATTATATATGCTGAAACACAGCGTTTCCTGCGAATCCCTCTTGATTTCACTCTCCCACTGTAGATGAAAACACTGTCTCCTTTAATGAATATTTAAAACAAAACATTTCTTTTATCTTTCCATTTCTAGTCCCATTGCCCTTGACACAGCAGAGGCTCCCTTTTTCTATCACAAATGCATTCTCCACCCTGCAGGTCCAAGGACACGCTGTTTAATTGTAATTATTGCAGGGTGTTTGTTCAATTTCCTCTTTCTGTGATGTAATTCTTCTAATTTCTTTAGGATCTTGGTTTGGAGGGCACCTCGCTCAATGACATCTTGTACAAAAACGCTGCCTTCCTCAACCTAGTGGACCCCATCTCCCACGAGCTGCTGCTTAGCCTGGCTCGAGAGATGCAGTGTCCTAAGAAGGTCAGTTTTTTACTGCGAAAATCAAGCTCAATGTTGGTACTCTGAAAAAGAAAGCGATCTTCCCTAAAAATATTCCCCTGATGGTCTCCTTTTGTTGAGCAATCTTAGATCAATGACAATCTAATCTGAGGATGTTATCGACTTACATTTCTACAGATAGAGGGTTGAAAGCAATCCTGCAGACACGTGCTGCTTTTGAGGAGCTACAAATAGGAACAGCTGTTAAGTCCTGGAGAGCTGTGCTCAATGCTGTTGGTTTCCTCATTTTGGAATCTCACACGTGAAAACTCATGAAACTGGAGTAACCTATAATATATGAAATATAAGTGGTCACCCTCAAGGAATGAACAGAATAAGTATGTTAAATAAAAAAGTTCTTCATGCAAAAAGAAAAATTCATAGCTCGGTATGTCTCAACCTGCAGCAGCGAATATTTAAGTATTTTGAGATAGTCATTCAGAACCAGCAGCCACAATATGGTTAATAAATAGAAATTACCAATGTTTACCAGTGTCTCTGTTGAATCTCACTGCTCCTGTGTACTTCCTGTGTTTCCCACCCTAATGCACACTGCATGAGATTAGATTTTCTTGCTCCAGCAGGGCAGCTAAATTGTGTTTTCTTCAGCCGTAGCTCAAGGTGTCTTGAATTGTAACAAACCTCTTCTGTTGTTTTCATGTGAAAGATATTACAGAAAGGAAGCTTTGTTTAAAGCCTGGATGAGCTGAAATAATGAATTGTTTTTGAAGTTTTTCCCGCACACACACAAGCAGAAAATCTAATCTCTGCTTCGCCACTGTCAGTGGTTTTGTGCCATTCTAAACACTCTCCCCACTCTCTTCTACAGGATGCGGACACCATTAAGTCCTCTGACAAGATCTGCAGGCAGCTGATCTACCACCTGACCCCGCACTCAAAGTGGCTGAGGCAGAGCATGTCCAGACAGAAATCCCAGGCCTGGTAAGCCCCTCTGTCCAGACATCCAGTCTGTAATAAATCGGCAGCTCTGCACAACAGAGAGCGCAGCTCTGCTCCATGTCGAGCCGTAGAGATTTCCATCTTTGTAGCTGACATTGTGCTAGGGCAGAGCCGGCCACAGGCTGACCTGACGGGAGCGCCATGGTAACCGCAGCTGTCAGTCATCCCTCTTTTAAGTGTTCACGTCCAGGCAGTGGATGTGCATTGCCACTGGCCTTCCATTCTCTTCAAAAGTGGCACTGCAGCAAATTTGTCCATCTGCTCGCTGGAGAAAAGCAGGGAGGGTGATGATAAAATGTAAATGTCCTCATCTTGATCAAAGACTGATTGCTTTTGATGTGCAAATGATGACTACAGATTTATCTTGTGTACAAATAGTTTTTTTTGTATGCCAAGGTGGTGCTTGGTAATCTATTCATGAACAGAACCAGGCAAGCTTTCTCGTGTAATTGAGTATTCTACAGCAGGCCAGACGAGCACGTAATGTATTCACTTTCTGGAGATGAACATAATCTAAGGACTGAGAAGGAGACAATGTGAACACAGTGAGATGTGGCAGGTTCATTATGAGTTAGTCAGAGGTATCAATTCACAGATCTGAGGAGAAGCGACATCGTATTCACAAGATCCAACCCTTCACCACTGAGGGCTTCGCTGTGATCATGGACCTTTAATAAAGCCCCGAAAGAGGAGAGACAGGATTTAACAGACACTGACAGCGTCTCTGGAAATGTGCAGATAAATACGATCGCTAAATTCCTCGCTTGCAGGGCCTATTTTTTACTTAGTCATGTTGTTGGCTTCATAAACCTGCAAAGAGAGAGAGACAGTCTGACACCAGCTGAGACAGCAGGAGCAACATGAATCATTAAAAGAAAAAAGATTTCCACCCCAAAACAGAATATTAATACGGCTGTTGCGATGAGCTCTGACAGCTTCGCCTGCCGTCAGGTTTGTGAACAAAAACCTGTCAAAGCTGGAAAAGACGAGACAGGGCCAGTCAGCCTCTGACTGTGAATTCACCTCAAAAAATCAATATTGAGAGACACTTTGTCTGGTTTAACAATTTCATAAAAGCACCTATGTGATTATATCCTGGGTGGACAGTTAGTTTCCTACTTAGTGTTATTAAAGACAGCAGCTGGGCTCAGGTTGTAGTGTATTAAATGTTATTGTATGAAGTCTTGTCGGGTGGGGAAGGACAGAGGTTGCTTGTTTAAATTCTGTTTGTGAGATTGATGAAAATATACCACACTTATTCTAAAAAAATGCTCAGTGGCAGATCAAGGATTTTTCTAAATCATTGGCCAGAAAGGGACCACATGTTAAATAGAGGGGAAACATCCATGCACAATTCCTGATTCAGTAAGCTGCACATTTATGTCGTTCCTTCTTTGCTGTTAGCTCTACAGTTTTTTGCAAAATCATTACCCCCCCTGGGTGTATGTGAGAACAGAAATTTTAGTGTTTGAGGCTCTGGAATGTCTCCGGTTTCTCTGACCAGTCTCCTCGTAAAAACTCTTAAGGATGTCAGAATGAGCCCATTTTAGAAAACTGCAGGAGATCCTGTGAACTCTCCGGAGATTTCTCTGTTGTTAAATCCTGCTGCGTTGTTCATATGTAAAGGCAAACTGGAATTCATGTCTGAAAACAGCTATAAAGGGAAACTTATTTATCATGAAATAAAAAGCAAGCAAAAGTACTCTCCTATAGCAATTAGAGAACTTTACCATGTTTTTTAAATGTTGCCAACATTAGCCTTCCAACTAATGTTAAATAAGTAGCTTCAGCATAGATAAGGGTGGTATCAATCTTCTCTCTAACACTCTGACTCACTAACACACATCTAACACATTGCATTTTCCATAATATTTAACATCTCCTTTATCCAACAAGGATTTAATTGTCCACATGAGAACACATGTCATGAAGATCATATTAGCTCCCTTAAACTTCCATCTTTGTTCAGCTGCAGGCAAACTGCTCTCTTGTGGGCAAAAATGCAGCCGTGTCACCACTGTGAGGTTTCTGTGTTCTCCGTGAGGGAAAACAGCTCAGTCTATTTTAATGCCACCGGCTTGTTCATCCCGTCATTATCGAGCATTAGCACTGCACACCCGCCCCTCTAAACACTGAACACACATTTCTGACTGAAATACCACACTGAATTAATGTCCTAATCTCCCTAATCCCGTTAATCTGTCTAAATAGTTTATTTGTTTTTTGCTAGAAATGTTTTTTTTTTGTTTTATATAATGAAAGAGCTCAGCAATGGGGTTGATGGAGGCAGTGACCCCATAACTGCTGCCAAGCCGCTCCATCCTAGAGGGTAATTTCATGTGCGTGTTGAAAATTGCGGATGCTTCTGGGATCTTTTTTCTCTTCAATTTTCCCACCACTGTCCTCCTGTTCCATCAGCCTCATTTGACCTCCTAATTGTCCTTTATTCCTTTGTCCTCTGAATGTTTAGCAACACAAAATACCATTTGGTTGATTTTCCATTTCAGTGCAAAGTATCTGTTTTAGTTTCTGCATTACTCCTCTTTCACCTTTCACTAATATACATTATATTGTGCATTGTAGAATACCATGCACATTAAAGCTTCCTCAGGAACATCAATAATTTTTTTAAGATTTTTTTCAGCTATTCCAGGAAAATACAAAGTTATAAAAAAGGTTATATTTATGTGCAGGAACCGTCTTTATTGACATGAGCGTTCAATGGTGAGGTTGGATTCCCTACTATCAAGGACAATGCAGTGGTGGGAGTGAGCGCATGATTCCTGCCCACAGTTTTCACTCTGGCACTCTCCTCTATACGTATGTGATACAGCAGAAAATGAATTGGAAATGAAAGTGAGATGGCAGGGAGCAGATGTGATTAGACCGCTCATCTCACAGCTCTCTTGTGCAGCCTGCCTTCAGCCATCAGTTGACTGAAATGAATAATGAAGCAAAACTTGAATATAAATGACTGCAACAAGAAAACAAAAAAGTATGAGCAGGGTAACAACAGCTTCAGGGGGAGCTAAAGAGGAAAATTAAGGGATTTTCATGACTTCTGCTGTTCTACTGTCCACCCACTTGTTAACATATGGATTTCATTTCATTGTTTTTTGTTTAAATAGCTTTTCACCTGATCTCATCCGACAAAGGCGAGTATAAATATTTATAAAGGACGAGAGTCATCTGATTTATGCTGACTGAATTTAAATGCTGCCTCATTATATAAAGTCACTGACACACAGAGACTGATGAGCTGCAGACAGGAGACGCGCTCTGCTTCCTCAAAATTGAAGTGGGAATACTTTGAATTGAAATTGATTACTTAATTATGTAATGGATATTTATTAGATAATGTAATTGTGAGGGTAGTTTGGTAAGCACTCTTACAACAATGTGGATGCCATTTGTGTTATTACAGGCTAACAGGTCAATGTCTGTGCAGGGGGGGATTATTTTCTCTCTCTCGGCTGCCTCCAACATCTATTTAGTGATATGTATCCAATGTGATTTGACTCATTGTGGAGAACACTGCACCGCGGCACCATTTCTTTTTTTAAATCTGTTTTAATCTCTTACCTATAAACTAATTTTACGGTTTAAACTTGTCAGTGTTCTTATGGGCCGAGAGACAACAAAACAAAAGCAATGCTCTCGTTGTCCGTGACGCTCCTGTGTTCTGGTATTAAATTGATCTTGTGGAAGGATGGAAGAGGCTTCCTGAGAGGACACCTCGACATCAATTTTTCATGCCTGCTGCATTCAAAAGGATAAGGCTGTCTGAAAAGGAGGGAGTTGTGTGATCAAAACCTATTCACACCTGCAGGGAAGCCTTTGCCAGGCTATTATAGGGCTTCTGTGCCTTTGGTGAGGATGAGGATTCTGTCATAGAAAAGGTTGCCAGGGCAAAGCAGACGATGGAGAGGTAGAGGACTGTGGCTTACTAGACTGTGAGAAAGTTACAGACAAATGTCTCCATCCGATAGATTCTAAATGCAACTTGCCTTTTATACCTATTTTTGTATGTTTTTGCAAAAGTACATTTCTGTTCATCAGCCCACGACTTGCTCTTAAAATGCAGTCTCGCATGCTGCTCACATCTTCAATGTGACCAAAATACACTTTAAAGCATCGCAAGTGACAGGTGCTGCAGTAAATGTCACAGTAAGTCACTGGGCGCCAGAGGATGTTATGATTCATCCTGACGCTAGATCAGCTGTACAGGCCACTTCCGTAAAACAGTTCATGTTAATCATGGAGCATCCTCGCGGAGCAACCCAGTCACCTCTAAATGGGACTGACTGTAAGCAAAATTGCAAAGAAGTGTATATAATGAATATATTTTCACATGAAGTGTAAAGTTCAAGAAAGTGTCACAGGAGCATCAGCTATGTTCAAATTTAGCCTCAAATCCTGCTCGTATTGAAAACACAAAACAGCTCATTCAGATGCAGCTAGACCTCAGGGGGAACTGTGATTTACTTTACTTTATAACATTTCTATACAAACCACTACAGTGACAGGTGTATATAATGCACATACTCATCATTTATTTTTAGAAATATATATTTTTTTAATTTCTATTCTCTTGTCTACCTCATTCTGACCTGCCTGCTGCTGTAATAACTGCATTTCAAGGATTCAAGGGTTTATTGTTATATGCACAACAATTACATTTAGCAGTTGCTGTCACTGTAATGCTTGAGTCCCAGGCTCCCCTCTAGCCATGCTCAGAAATTACACGAGGAAAAAAATTAAATAAAAATAGAATATAAAAAATGAAATAGAATATATAAAATAACAATTATTATTATTATTATTATTATTATTATGAGGTGCAGAGAAGACGAATTTCCCCGCTGTGTGTAGTTTTATCTTATCTTATTAATAACAGAAAATGCTTCTATTTTTACGATCTGCATTAGACAATCAACACAATTTAATAACTAATACTAATGCTTGGCACATGATGATTTAATGTAGAATTCCTTTTGCTGACTTTAACAAATGATAAATATCAGTATGTGATGATGGATCGTCAGTTAATGAGCGTTCATTCACAGTTACTTCATGCAGCAATTTATATGATTAGGCAGATCCTTGTATGAAGTGCACTTTTGTCTGTAATTGGATCCAGCTAATTGGGTGGCATAAATTAATATATGAAAGAACTGTGATTTAAGCATCCTCAACTGATGATTCATTAACTAATCTCATGAAGTCACACTTGTTGTGTATTAATTGCAAGGAGCAGGTCATGGTACAGCCTTCGTTGATTTATGGTCAGGATTAAGCACATTTTGTATGATTCTTATCTTTTAATGTGTATTTGAATAAAGATGAATACATCTAGAAAGTGGTGAAATTGCATGTTGCATGTTGCACCTGAACACCCCTCACCTCACCCTCTTCTTCCAAACATGTAAAAGAACCTGTGGTAGCTTCAGTTGTCATAAAAACTCAAAAGGTGTTTAGTTTGTCCAGTCTGGACTAATGTGAAAAACATGGCGGCCTCCGTAGAGAGGGTCCCCTCGATGTAAATATAAAGTATTTGAATATAAAGGGCCTTTTCTGGGCTAAAGAAAACTACAATTCAGACATTTTAGATGAAATGAACTAGTGAAAACATCATGCGAATTATTCTACATTAAATATCTGCCAATAGTTCCCTTTCACCTAAATCTTACACACTGGACCTTTAAATGATAAAAGATTATGTACTAGGTTTCAAATATGTTTAGGTGTTCACATTCATTTTACACTACCTATATTATGCTTGGTTTGTGATGTCTCTGTTTGTTGTAGTTCTTGCAGATTAGCAGGCAAACAAAACCACCATGGAACTGACTGTGGACACCTACTGTCTCTGTCTGTAGTCTGTGAGACAACGTGATGTTTCAGGGGTTATTCTTAACTGGGCTACTTCAGCTTATCTTCAGTTATGGGGTGTAAATAATTCTGAGATATTCCTTCATCTCTGTCGTACATCATTTCATTCATTATGGTCTTAAAAAGACTTCAATTTAATTTGTTGGAACCCTGACAAAGAATATATTGTATATTTTAATGGAATTTGGAAACTATTTACGGTCAGCGGACCCCCATTTGAGAACCACTGATATAAACTACTTATCGTCTTATGGGTCACAGCGGGGCTGGAGCCATTTCCAGCTGACATTGTGCAAGAGGCGGGGTACACCCTGGGCAGGTAGAGTATCACAGGGTCAACACACAGAAACAAACAACCTACAGTCACAGCTACGGTCGGTATTAAACCCCAGTCTGCATGTCTTTGGACTGTGGGAGGAAGTAGGGGTACTTACTGAAAACTAACGCAAATCGAGAATGAAGGACCCTGAACCGGGTTTCAAACCAGGAACCTTCCTGCTGTGAGGCAACAGCAACTTCACAGTGATGCAGGGCCACAACTATAGAACCATGGCCCGTTAAAACACATTCAGTGGATAGTGTAGTTGTGGTGGAAGTGGTGCCAAAATAATTATTCATGCTTTACGGATGTGTTACCAATGATCATACATGTGACAGATTATTTCAGTAAGTGAAGTGGATCATGAGGAAAAAGCGAAAGTGCTTCCTTTTTTAAATGCCCTATTTAAAAATCTACATTTCATGATCTGCTTTTCACCAAATTTCTCTGAAATCTGTCATCACACTGTGGAGACATCTGCTATCTAGAAAGGAAATTAGCATTTTACATTACTGTGGTCGAGATAATCACTTAGCCTCATTTACTAGTATTTTTCAAATAGCATTTCCAAAAATGCATCTTATTTTCCTTCCTGACCTAGAAATATAGAAGCCAGCCTTTATTAAAGTTTGATTGTTTTTCTAAAACACATCTTTTAAGTAGTAAACTGTCCTGGCTCTATGCTGTAAGGAGCTCCTGGCCATCAGAGCTTTAAGCTCAAGCTGCTGGCTCACTCGGATGTTTTGGCTCCTCTGTTTACATTAGTAAATCCCCATGCTGCAGTCTCTGTGTCAGCCTTCCGCTCCAAGCCAGCACAGTCACCCGTACTTTATACAACACAGGAAGCACAACATAAAACCAGGGCCTTGTTCCAGAGTCACAGATAGGAGTATCATTCTAAGATCTGTTTCAGCCCCTCATCTAAAAACTTGTTTGTTTCTAATCGTCATCTAAGTAATCCTCTCTGTCTATTTGTGTTCCCCAACAGTCTCAAGACCACCCTACAGAAAAAGCTGTCCAGTGATTCTGTTGACTTGTCCGGCATCCCTCTCTCCACTCGTGATGTCCGCCAAGTCGCCTTCTACCTCCAAAAAAACAGAGACAGTGTGGTGGCTGTGGACATCAGCTTCACTGAGCTCCAGGACGAGAACCTGAGGCTTCTCCTGCCTCTTCTTGCCTCACTGCTGAAACTCAGCACCCTGGCTCTCAATGGCAACCGGCTCACCCTGGATATCCTCAAAGACCTCAGCGAGATGCTCAAAGACCCCAAGAAGTTCTCCAGCCTGGCCTGGATCGACCTAGGCAACAACGTTGATATTTTCACCATGCCTCAGCCACTTCTGGTGGCGCTGCGCCGCCGCTGTAGCCTGAAGAGCAGCTTACCGACCATCTACGAGTACACAGAGGGTCAACCCTACTGCTACCACCTGGAAACCTCCATTGAGGAGCCCAGCCACTACGAGGAGGAAGAGGAGGACGAGGACGAGGCGGAGGACGACGATGAAATGGGGAACAAATTCGTGGTGGAGCCATGGGGTTTGGGGGAGAAGCAGCTCTCCAAAGAATTCACCCTCCACTACTGTGAGAGGTGATGGGGTATTTTCTCTGTGAGGCTCTGACAACTGTGGATGACACGTCGTCCCACAGCACAACGTTACTTCCTTCGCCCTCTCGCCCTCACACCATGAGCCCAGTCCCCCTTTGAGGCACGAGAGAGACCAGTGCCCACATTGTGAACTTCTCGTCCTGACACAGCTCTCAAGCTATTCCTAAACCATCTCTCTGAGTTAACCCACACAAGATAGTGACAGTCACAACGACAAACTTACTGTGTTGGTGGATGGTGCTCTTGGGAACAAGGTGCGGTTTCATTGGAGGGGGGCTGGAAGAGTTAATGAACCGATGCTCGCTCTCTCTCTCTTGCTCTCTGTCTCACTCTCTCTCACCCTCTATCTCTATCTCTCTCTATCTATCTCTGTGATGGTGGCAGCTGAGGAGCCAGTCCCAAGGAGGTGTAGATCAGTCGGTTGGATGGAGGAGCAGCATCCCTGCGGTGGCTGAAGTGGAAGTTAGTTTGGAAACAGTGGGTCCCTCTGGGTTCTCTACCAGGACTGAGACTATCTCTGGCAGGCAGGGCCTAGCTCCACATTGTGTGTTCTCTGTTAATCTCTCAACAAAAGCTATGACACAAGTTCAACAGACTATACAGCCGACGACCTGTCACGTGACGCCGGCAAAACTGCTAGGTCAAGACTTTTTGCGGCTTTTTCCCCCCCTTTCCAAATGTCCACTTGTGAATGCCCGCGCAGCCCTTGTGTAGATGTAAATGAGGACACAAAACATGGCTCTGTTGTGTTCCCACAGGCTATTTTTGTGCACTTTTGGTGAACAAAGCAATCTTAGAAGACAACAGGTAGGACTCAACAATGGGTAGCTGTCACTGATTGTTTTTTGTACTTGCCTAAATGCTGTTACTCTTTGTAATTATTTAAGTGTTGTAGTCATCACCACAGTGTTTCAGTGCAATTATGACACAACTTCCAGCTGTAATACAGGCCACTGTGTATGTGCTGTGCCCAAACTGCCCTTCCTTCTGTCATCCGTCTCCACAAACATGTCTGCATCTCCATTTATTGAACTTCACCAGCCCTGTGTGTGTTATGAGGCACAGCCATGACTGTTATTTATCGGTTATCGTCCATCTACAGTAGCACATGACGATTAAGTTAGACTGACCGAAACACTGCAATGCACTTTAAGACACTATTATTTTTATAGTTTCCTCTACTGCGTGTTCTCTGTTGTTTATTAGAGATATTTACAGAGCAGAAGGTGAAGGCGTACCTCGTTAAGATGAAACGATGACCAAACGGCTCAAGGATCATTCACCAGATATATGATAAATGTTTAAGTGTGTGTTCTACGTGTTTGTAAAAGTAAAACGTCTGATTACTGTTGTAATTATTTGTGTTATTGATTTGGTGTTTTGTATTTCAGTCCTACTAATTATAATAATGACTCTAATGACTATGAAAGTGTGCCCTGCGGTGACCTGCTGCTGTATGAGCTCGAGCAGTAAATAAAAAAGGAGGAGGCGGTGGCAGAGTGGAAATCTTTTATGTGGAACGCTTCATCTGAATAATGACCAGCACCGTCCACTTGATTTGTAATTTATGTTTTAGTGTGTCAACGTCAAACTCTTCCTTGTTGTAGCCTGTGTGTATTCGTCTCATGCCAAACACTGACTGCCAATAAAACTGGTCCAAAAACAGTGCTTTGTTTTATTTTGAAGTGTATTGAGTGGTTTTGACTCCTGGGTCACGAGTAGACCTGCAGCTGCTCACAACCAACACTTTTATTTATGCAGATTAGTCTGCAAATTGGGCAATAAAGTAAATCTGCTCGAACCGTGCTTTTTGGGATCGGTTGTTGGAGCGTTGTACTGGTTTCGGAGCCAGCGGATCATACGTGCTGCTCTGTGCTGTCAGAGAAAATGCCTGAGCTGCCACAGTTTACCTGGAAAAGGCAGGATGGTTATCACATGAGGCTCTACCCATGATCCTCCTCTGGCAACCTTTTGTTCCTGCTGCCAGACATGGTAATGTGGCATTTTCAACAGGTGGCTCCTTTAAGGTCAGGGCACAGTGTGACTGTCACACCCCCCGAGGTCCAAATACCATGTGACAGGGCAACAGAGCCCACCCCTAAAATCACCGGGATCTTCATCATCTGACCTTTTCCCTTCAGATTTGATTTGTCGCCCTGGATTTTGAGGAAAGATAAACAAAACTTGATTTATTGTCTGAATTGAAACTGTGGCTCACCTGGACTTGTGCATCATATATCTTCACAAATTTTCCCCGTTATCGCTCTACTGTTTGTGTGAGTCACTATTTGATGCAATTATTATGCCTCAGCTGCAGCATGCTCCGGCACAAAATGAAAAATTATTTATGAAAAACAGCCAAGACAAGTCACGCAGACTGTTGGGAATACATTACGGCACAAAGGAATGGCTCTACAGAGCAGATTTCAGCAGACATGGCCTCAGGTTAAAGGGAACTGACCAGTGGAACTGGCCACCTTAGTGCATCCAAAAAAACGTTTTCATTGGTTTTACTTTACTATAATAAATTTTAATCTTTTTACCTATTTAACTCTTCACATATGTTCAGTTTTTTTTGTTCCTGCACATATGATTTCCAACACCTGTACTGTGAAAAACATTAAATCCATTTCAGGTACTTTTTATTAATTGTGTTTAACTACCATTCAAGAATTACACATAATATGAAATTCATGTGCTCCTATATAATGTATTTAAGTAATATTTCAGTTTTTTGTAAAAGCTTCTGTTCAAAGGACAATTATCACATGTGTTGCAGGATGTTTTCATACTAAAAAGCAACTTTTAGGATGTTTTAACAATAAAACTTTATATCAAATGATGTCTGTATAATCAGTGCTCCAGTACTGAGAGTGAATACCACATGATATGAGATATGAACAAGTTATCAACTTCTTGAGACAGTGAAAAGTAGCATGTATCCCAGATATTAACACTCAATGTCGAAAATGGCTCAAGAGATAAAAACAGGTACAAATAAGCTGAACACAAGACTTACAGGAGGTCGGCTTCAATCACAGAGGCAGTAGTTTCCATCATGTCACAGTAACAGTCAGAGGCTACATGTTTTAACCGCTACATGTAACTGTAAGCGTACAGCTGAAGACGCCTGTTATTTGGCGCCTCATGGGATAATTTTCCAGCAGGACAAACACAATCTGTTTGTGGCAGCAGGAAGGTCACCTCAACCTTCAGGCCATCCCACGCAACCCACGTCAATCACTCGCTGTCTCAGTATCCGGCTGCTTGGCCCAGTTTCCTGGCATCAGACACTGCACAGATACAGCCGTCATTCTGCTCCACGGCATTGACCACGTTGTAGAAGATGCTCGATATCTCTTGATTGTGTCCCAGAGCTTTAAGAGCCTTGATTACATTCTGTAGAGATAAGATCAAATCGAATAAATTAACTTGTTACAGCAGCAGAAAGTCAGAATGAGATTTTACTACACACCCAAATATTGTTTATAAAGAAAATTGCAGTGGCCCAGTAGACAACAAATATATTGTATATTGCATAAATTCAATAATAAAATATGGTTTGAATAGGAAATAGTGTGCAAGTTCCCACACACAAACACATATGTATGAATTTTATAATAACAGACATACACATTGTATAATATAATATAATACTTTATATACAGATAATGAGCTGGAGGACAGCAACATGCTTTTCCAATAGAAAAATAGTTGAAGTAATTATGTCCCTCTATCAGATAAATGCAGTGAATGTTGTACCTTGTCAAAGTTGGTTTCAAACCTCAGTGCGTTTTCAGAGTTGATAAAAACAAGAGGGGCAGCGATTGCCTCCTTCAGGCTCTTTCCAAACCAAAGGTGGTTCATCAGCGTCTGGAGGAGAGACAATAATACATTGTAATTTGCCAAATGGGACAGTGATGATTAAACAATGGGTTGTGGACGTGCTGAAGTTACTGGTGAGGACAGCTTTTGCTATGACAACAGTGACGGGCATTTGCCTGCAGCAATTTATCTTAATGGCACTCAGTGTGATTGCCTATGGACGTGTACCGAGGCGATCCCGGTCGTTATCATGCTCCCACCGGTCGCTCCAATCACCAGCGTCTTCGACTGAGACTTCAGCACAGCGGGAGACATGGAGGAGGGAGGCTGATCCCCTGCGAACGCAAAACAAAAAGGATTTGACTGACAGGACAGACGGCTACAATTCAGACTCATCAGTGTGAAGAGAACAAGATGGAAATGATTATAAAGGCTCTGAAAGCTGGAAACCCAAGACACCCATCAAAGGGTGAGGGGCGTTTCTTCAGCCCATCACTTTGTGATTTCCCCTTTGTTCACCAGCTGACACCTGACAGTCGTGAATGTGTCACTCTCAGCTTCATACTTTTCATAAAACATGTCAGACAGACGAAAAAAAGAGAACACTGCAAAGAATAATCATTTCATATGAAAGTCTGTCTCAAATTAGGCTAAATCAATGCACATTTGATTTGTTTTTTTAATTATTCATGTTAATTTAACCTCAACAGTTTAACAGATGATGAATATTTTAGGGTTCATGATATTAGGAACAAGCAGTTTGTGAGCACAGACCCCACAGAGACCTCTGCTGTGATGGCAAATCAATCTTCTTCTTTACTCCTCTGACCAAGTTAAATCCCAAAATAATACCATTGAGATAGAAATTACACAAGGTAAGGAAATCTTACAGGTTGTACGAGCTATGAACAGTTATTATGTTTCATTGCTCATTCTGATTGTCAGCAGGATTGCAAAAAACAATTGAAGGGTTTTGTAGGGGCCAACAAAGAACCCTTTAACTTTGGAGCAGATTTGATTAAAGGGGCCGATCCAGGGTTATTTCTTTCACTTTCTTTAACATCGTGAGATGTTTTTCTAAATTTTTTTGAATTTCTCAATAAATAATACAGATATCTTCATGAAGATTTGGCATATTTAGGAAACAGATATCTGTAAGTGTGTGAACTTTGGTGCAGCTTAAAGTGGAGTGGACTTAGACGGACTGGATGGAGGTATGTGCTCTCCTGAGTGAAATGTACATAGTGATGTTATTCATGTGTGGGGTTAGTCAGACCTAATTAAATAGGTTTATTCAGGCTTTAGGAGAGCAATGCTGCCATTAACTCCCTTTAACAGTAATCACATAGAGAACTTGGAAATCATTTTTACCTCCACCAAGGAGGTTATGTTTTCATCTGCGTTTGTTTGTGTGTTAGTAGTTAGCAGGTTTAAGGAAAAACTAATGAACAGATTAGTGCAAAGCTCGTGGAAGGAAATGGTATGTGTCTGGAGGGAACCCATTGAATTTTGGTGCAGATCCAGGGTAATTCTTTTTTTTTCTTTAACATTGAGTTTTTTCTGACATATTCATTGATTTCTCAGAAAATGATTCATGGATCTTGATGAAAACTGATATTTATAATATGTAATTAAGTGGAGATCCAAATAAAAACCGGGTTCTAGTGAACTTAAATGTGGTTTCATAAACATTGGTGCCCCAGACCCCAAAAAACTCAAATGAACACATTACATTTAAATAGTTTAAAGGCGTCCAGGGTCTCCAGGATAGAACGATCGTGGCTTAACATCAACCCACAACACCCTGAACAATATGTACTGCACATTCTGAGGTCTCAGATACAGTAAAACAGCCCCCCCTCCTGCAGCACTTACTGTCTCAGAACATCTAATCAATGCATTACATTCAGCTCATTGGATAACTCATTAAAGACTCCTAGGAATGAGAGTTTTTTGTAACGTGCTCCACCCTCAGACATCCTGGTTAACAAGGAACAGAAAGTTACTCAATGAATATGAAAATGATGTGGTTACCAGGAAAGAGATTGTCAACTCGGCCACAGAAGTCGGACAGCTCGTTGTTGAGGATGACTCCGGTGCTCGGAGAGAAGACCTTTGAGCCAAAGCTAAAAAGTACATTACATAAACTGAATCATCAAACTATGACAGTTGATATTAAATCTTTTCAATCCAATACTTTTGATGCTTGGTGTCTTTGCAGGTACTGACATGTGGTTGATGGTGCTGGTGACGGACACGGCAGATCCATCCTCAGCCAGCACCGACACGTGTGTGGTGCCCACACTGTCCAGGTGCGGGGTGATGTTGTAGTACCGGGGATCGTGAGTCTTGTCGCTGCTGATCAAGCTGCGAATGTGGTCGGCAAAGCTGTCCTCTGTGAATTTCCTCGCCATCTACGGAAAGCGCAGTGAACTTAAAAACACATGTATCGATAACGACACAAATTTCAAGGCTGGATGGATGGATAGATAATGTAGACTTTTTACAGCAGGATTTTTACTTTAGAGCAATACTTTAAGGTCCAGTGTTTAAGATTTAGGTGAAAGGGATATTGGCAGATATTTAATGTAGAATAATCCTCATGATGTTTTCACTAGTTTGTTTCATCTAAATTGTATGAATTGTAGTTTTCTTTACCCCAGAAAAGGCCCTTTATATTGAAATACTTTATATTTACATCGAGGGGACCCTCTCTACGGAGGCCGCCATGTTTTTTACATTAGTCCAAACTGGTAAAACTAAACACCTTTTGAGTTTTTATGACAACTGAAGCTACCACAGGTTCTTTTTCATGTTTGGAAGGAGAGGGTGAGGTGAGGGGTGTTCAGCTGCAACATGCAATGTCAACATATATCACAAAATTCTACACATTGTACCTTTAAATAAAAAATACTTCTTCCACCTCTGACTATAAGGTTTAGCTACATTTAACTACTTCAGTGTAATGGTGATGTGTACAGCAGCGACAAGTGTAAATATGTGCTCCCATGTTCACTGGAGCATTTTGCGATTCTCACCTGTTCTGATGTGTGCTGTGGATGGATGTGTTTCTTCAGTCCATTGGCAAACTTGAAGGCTTCAACGTAGCGGTGATAAGCCAGAGTCTTCAGTTCACCTGTCAGAGATGCTGAATTCAGGCCATATCCTGTAAAATCAAACAAACTGTGTTCATTTGGTTTGTTCAACTTGAGACAATCCCACCTCCTACGACTGCTCTTGACACCATGAAATAAGGAAACTCATTTGTGTTTTGTTTCCCAATATTTTTATGATTTACTTTTATGGACAGCACTCTGTTTTTGCATTAACACTATATAGGAACTATGTTACAGTCTGTGTGGTTCGGGGACGTGTTAATCATTGCAATGGTTTCCTCTGAAGATACATGCAGTTGGAGAAGTTTTAAACTCAGCTTATAGTTTTCAATGATGGGTGAGAGCCAAATCACTTCTTCAATAAAAGAAGAACTACCATGTAGTCTATAACCTGGAGGGAGCGAACCATCAAAATAATATGAAAGTATCAGCATTAATGTTGGCCAATGTGCACCGATATAAAAAATAAACATTGCAAGAAAGGTGTGCTCCATGTTTATATTTACATAAATTCCTTAATTCAAATTCTATATCTTTAGTTGTATTTGTCTTTTCTTTTTGTTTGTTTTATTTATAATATATATATATACGCAGCCCGTCTGGTGACATGGGTGGAAAAAATAAATTTCGCCACGACTTGCTTAATGCGTGGGAACGAGATGATTATTAGGTGGCCATGAATTAATAAGACGCATGATGACCCCGAGGTCAGCATATTGTTTACGTTTGAGCCTGTGCTTTTTGAGCAGCCGAATTAAGTGTCTCTTGCCCAGAATGACTCCATGTCTGACCGCAAGTGATTTCAGGATATTGTAACGCCGGCGGAAGTAATGAGGAGACAGGGCGTGATGTCTTCAGGACATTTATTTTCGTTCTTTTTACTATGAACAAACTTTGTGAACTCCCACACACAGAGACTTATCTCAACGGTCTTTTCGCCCACCGTTCCACATACACACACACGGGCCCTGCCACACACACTTATCAACGGCGCGCATACTCAGCATTTTCAACATGCACTTCCTTGATTAGCCGAGAGACAGACAGCCAGTCCAGCTGGACAGCAGGGTCGCTACACTATCATTATAATTCATCCCAAGATTAAAATAAAACAAAATCATATCAAACTTGTCCATGTTTGCGGCTGAAGCTACTGATGCCAGAGAGTCAACAGTCTCACTGATGAAATGACAAACATTTCTCGTGGCCACGTCTTATTATTTCGTGGCCACCTAATAATCATCTCGTTCCCACGCATTAAGCAAGTCGTGGCCACGGAATAGGATCTCGTTCCCACTCGTTATTAATTCGTGGCCACAGAATTTTTTTTTTCCACCCATGTCACCAGACGGGCTCCATAAAAAACAAAATTATGCAGGACAAATTAATTTAACTAATTAGAACACAGTGGATAATTAGGTACTGCCTATTGAACTCAGGCTAAT